ATGGTCTGGGAAAGTAGGTTAACTTATACCCAATTGGAACAGTGAAGAACTGAAGCTAATGAACATTTTTTGCGGTCAAATCCTCAGCTCCTCGGGGTGCTCCTCTGCATCCTGATGGCGTTGGATATAGAGTCCTATTGAGGTTTAAGTTGTAAAAAAAAGAAATGCAGCAAAGTTTCATGACAGGTTGTCCAAAAGTGTTTGCAGTGCAGTTGACTTGATAGATTTGATACCCCTACACCAGTTACCTCAGGGATATATATAGGGTTGATATACTCCTCGATGAGAAGCAAGAATCTACATTCACACAATACACGTTAAAGGAGAGGTTAGTAAAAGATGTGCTGAATGTAATTGTTAACTGGAGAACAATTATTAATGTTGAGAAGAATATGGTAAACATTGCTTATAGGAGTATTAAATATAAATTATATTAAGTATGGCAATGTCAAGGCAGATAGCACCAGAAGACAAGGAACAGGGTGAAGTAGGAGACAGAAGCACAGTTTGTGGTGTCGTAGATTATTTTAGTTTGTCCTAAAAAGACCAGCACATTTTTGATATTCATATAGGCTGTTTTGCATGTTACTAATTTTTGAAATGGGGTAGTAGGTGGAGGTGGAGGGGAAGAGCTTCGTGAATCAATGTAACATTTGAAGATTGTTTTTATCCTTTTGCAGGAACAGGTAATACAGAGTATTGATGTTATAGTGTCAGTGGCAAGTCCTTATTCCCATTCAGTGTCTGTCTCCCCCAGTTTATTTTTAATGATAGGAAAGTGTTGGTAGATTGCTTCCTTCTCCCTTGTATGTGTAATGAAAAGTGATTCAAGCCCAATAAAATGGGACGTAGTTTGTGTCCACCTTTTCCTAAAAAGTGTCATTAATGTTCCAAAGCAAGTAGTAATCTGGTAGTTCCCCCCCCCCCCTTTCACTGCAGCCTTTTCACCAATGTTGAGAAAGACTAGTAAGCGCGATATCTCCACAGGTGGGACTGGGCAGCATGAGTGAGAGGAAAGGTGGACAAGATGCCACCAAGAAGAGGCACCGATGCCCCTACTGTGTCTACTCCACTGCTAGGAAAGATCATTTGAAAAAGCACATAAGAGTGCACACCGGGGAAAAGCCCTTTGCCTGCGCGCACTGTCCCTACCGCTCCTCACAGAAATATAACCTTAAGAGTCACGAGTTCACCCATAAGCTGTAATGTGTAGCAGAAATTTAGGATAGAATATGCAGTGCCATCAGCCAGCTGCCTGTGTGAAAGGTTGTACGGTTTGTCCTGGTCTGTTACTGTTTATTTTGTCATTTTTTTCACATCCTTCAGTATTTGTAAGTTTGATGAAAGGGAATTATTGCCTCATGATTTTGATACAGAATGTGAGTTCTGTTAAAGAATTCTCTAGTTCTTGTTTGTTTATATAGAGGCAGCATCTTTTACAAACATTTTTGTAGTTATTTTATTTATATCATAGCATCCTCATGATAATGTTTCTGAAGATGAACATGATCATAATGACCATCATCACGATGAATATAATTATCATGATGATGACCATCAATTTCATGATCATATCATCATTATGAAAATGATCATGAATATCATGTTAATCATCATCATCATCATCATATCATCAACATCATCATTATATCATCATCATCATCACCATCATCACTATCATCATCATCATCATCATCATTATTTTCTTCTCAGAAGAATAGAACTTTTCAGTTTTACCTGTGCTTACTTTGGCTGTAGCTGTCTAGAGTGGTATTGCCTTGGCTTGGAAGTGTCCATTTCCATCTGGTGCATTCACATGTTATCCCCCACCCCCCAGGGCCTGTTTGGTCCACTCCCATCTTGTTCTCCCGGTCCAGTATGGTCCCATCCTGTCTTGCCTTCATAGATATGGTTCCTTTCCAATCTGCCCTGTCCATTCTATTCCCTCTCATCTTGTCCAGTCTCACGTAATTCCCTTCTGGCTTGCCTTTTCTGATGTGGTCCTGTCCTGTCGAACCCTCCTCGTAGGATTTAGTTCTGCCCTGTCCTTCAGTCTGTAAAGTATCTGTTGTATTTTGGATGTGTACTGTTCTGAGTTGCATTAATCCGTCCTAAGCCTTCTCACAGGCAAAAGAGGATCTAACCTGCTTTAATAAATCTTCCATACTACTCATAATGAACTAAAACTTCTTGATATTTTGTACAGTGTCTCATGATTTACATCAGATAGTTGTAGAGGTGGAGGAGTATGATCCAGTGTTGGAAATTGTGTATGTAGGTGTGCATTTTTCAGATGGCTGTTAGGTGTGATGATACAAGTGACCCCTGAGTTGCAATTTAAGAATGTGACACAGTTGCCAGAGAATAAAGGTTGCCATGGTGTAATTATTTATTTTATTTATATATTTGTTGAGTTAGTTAGTTACAAACCTATTTATGATTCTTATCAAAGAAATACATGTCTAAAATTATCTTGCTTTCATCTCTAATGTTCGATAAGTTGTGTAAAGAACTCATAATCCAAAAATTGATTATAGCACTGCATTGCAACTTCCCTCTCTCCCTCCCCTTTCCTGCTTGACTGTCATCCCTAAAACACTTGCTCTGCTTAATTTATAGGAACCACTTCATACCTGAAGTAATAAAAATGCATTTGTGCATGGAAGATTTTCTTAGATCTCATTCTTTTTTTTTATGGCTACAAAGATATGATGTAATGTTTGAGACACCCTGTATAAATCTCTGTAGACTAAGGCTGATCATCATCAGCTCTTTTTAAACCAAACCAAGGCACTTTTTTACACTTCATTTAAACCACTTCCAGTGACTACATATGAAGTAGCTTAAATGTTTACCTGTTTAGTTAAGAAAAACATTTGGTAGACCAGTGATAGTTCGGTATGTAGGCTGATGGGCTTTGAGTAAGAAGGCTGTGTATTATACATTGCACCAGAAAGAGTACAATTACAGAAGTGTCACATTGTCTGTGCAGGACAGATCGTGTGGTATGTAACTGTTAGGAGTTAGTATACAAAATTCCTTTGCTTGACTACAGTCATGTAAGAAAAATATTAAGAGAAACTTAAGTACAAGGAATTAAAAAAGGAAGTAATTTGTGTTCACTGGGGCCAAGATAACAATTTCACATATTTAAGTATCATAGTAATCATCGTATTTGATTTGGAGGGTTGCTAAGTATGCAAAGAGGCAACCATGATGCCACACCACATTCCCTCTGTTGTTATCTACAAGACATCACAATACATTGGTGATTTTGGTTTTGCACTCATTTGCACTGAGATCACTAGGAGGTTGTTTAGCATTTATATTTATAGGTAATTTTAGTAGACTTTATTGTTGGGAACATATTTGTAAATCATAGCTGTTTTATAATTGGTGTAGATGTTTCTGCCTGTGCTGGAGAATATTTGGTCACAATAAGTGTGCATGATGGTCATGATTGTCACCAAATAGTGGTAAACATAAACACAAAGTTCAATCTCACCCCCTTTACTGCATCCCAGTACGTGGGAAGTTGTAGCCAAGATTTTACCCCGAAGGAAAAGCATTCCTCCCTTCTCTTGCATGTTGTTCTGTTTAAATAATAGTAGTTCAGTGTCTTCCTTGGTTAGTGTTGCATACTGTACCTATAGGATGGAACTACTCTTGAGAAAATCAGTTTACTTTTTATGCCAGGTAAAATCTGAAAATCTCATTATCAATGTAGAGTGACATTCCAGGTGGCAGGTTTCTTTGTTTATATATTTGTTTCTTACACACAGATGAATATTGCAACTTGCTATGTGATTCATAATTATTGAGCTTCTTTAATCAATTATAAAAGAATTGTAAATATGATTGTGAGTGGGAGGGTGGAGAGTCTGAGGAGTGAAAGTGGGTGATTGTGATGGGGGAGGGCATGTGAGCATAAGGGTGCATTAGAGTGAAGAAATGCAGTCGGAGAGAGTGTAAGTGAAAGAGTGGAGAGTGCATGAGTGTGAGGATGAAAAATGTGAGTTTGAGGATGGAGAGTGGGGCAGTGTGAGGGGAGAGAACGCATGAATGTAAGGGTAGAGAGTGTGTGAGTGCAAGGGGTGAAAGTGTGTGTTTATGGTGTGAATAGTGCATGAGTACAAGTGGGTGAATGTAAGAGGGAGAGCATGAATGCAAGGAGGAAAGTGAGTGAGTGTGAAGGGAAAGAATGCATACTATGAGGGAGAGAGACTGAGTGCAAAGAGTGTACTTGAGCTGATATTCACCCCCTCACTCACATGTTTTTATTCATATGTATATATATAGTGTAATTACCACCGGCTATAACTCCCAACCATGGGGAAAAGTAAAAATGTACAAAAAAAAAGAAGAAAAAATACAAATACATATAATGAAAGAAAATTTGGTATGTATGTGCAAAGTCTAGGTTGATAGGCTTATCAAAAGAATTGTATCATGCATGATTTTTCAATAATATTAGGATAACAGAAAGAATATAGGTTTGTATTTTTTGTGATTTTTTTTTTCATAGAATACTAAGATGTATGTTACATATGTCCCTAGATTGAGATAAAAAAAACAAAACAAATGTTTTATATGCACAATCTTTGGGATATTATTCATGTATTGTCCAAGGAGGAAAAATAATGCACCGTTGCCAGAGAGGTAGTCCAGTATTTGTAGGAAAAGTGTGTTTTCTCTGTGCGTCTTGACCATTTGTTGTAGTCTCAGCTTCTTGGATGCACAGCTCACAAGTCTGTTATAGTGTTGCACAAAATATTTATGATAAGATAGGTCAAGTAGCCATGAAGGTAGATTTGTGGATATATATGATGTGTTGCACCAACTTAACTGTGATAGTGCAAAAAAAAAAAAGAAAAAAAAAATTGTATTGATTAAATATTCTTGTGTATAGTTTACGACTTACAAAGGTGTACAAATTGTATCAACTTAGATTGATATATTGATATTTTGTTGTTATACTATTTATGTCATTATATGTGTATGTATTTGTACTCATGATGTAAATATACATAAAATAATAATTCAATGCCTTTCATGTCATTACCATGTGTCCAATAAAAATGGGTTACGTTTGGTACATTTAAATGTACAGCATATGAATATTTTTGATAAATGGTTGAAAGTGATTGAGAGAAGGAGAAAAGATATGACGGAGAAGAGTGAGTGAGTGAGTGAGTGAGAGGGTGAGAGAGAGTGATTTGAGTGAGTGAGTGAGTGAATGAGTGAGAGAGTGAGTGAGTGAGTGAGTGAGTGAGTGAGTGAGTGAGTGAGTGAGTGAGTGAGTGAGTGAGAGGGTGAGAGAGAGAGTGAGTGAGTGAATGAGTGAGTGAGTGAGTGAATGAGTGAGAGTGAGAGAGAGAGTGAGTGAGTGAGTGAGTGAGTGAGTGAGTGAGAGGGTGAGAGAGAGAGTGAATGAGTGAGTGAGTGAGTGAATGAGTGAGTGAATAAGTGAGAGAGTGAGTGAGTGAGTGAGTGAGTGAGTGAGTGAGTGAGAGGGTGAGAGAGAGAGTGATTGAGTGAATGAGTGAGAGAGTGAGAGAGAGAGTGAGTGAGTGAGCGAGCGAGCGAGTGAGTGAGTGAGTGAGTGAGTGAGTGAGTGAGTGAGTGAGTGAGTGAGTGAGGGAGTGAGTGAGTGAGAGGGTGAGAGAGAGAGAGAGAGAGAGAGTGAGTGATGAGTGAGTGAGTGATGAGTGAGTGAGTGATGAGTGAGTGAGTGATGAGTGAGTGAGTGAATGAGTGAGAGATTGAGTGAGAGGGTGAGAGTGAGTGAGTGAATGAGTGAG